TTATTGTGGAGTCAATCATCTATCCCAAGCATCAACCTATACCATCTCTGATCAATCAATCAATAAACATTTATTAAGTGTCTAATATGTTGCAGGCACTATGGTAAGCATTTGCTTTGATGTTGTGTTGTTGAGTTGTTTTTCAGTCGTGTCCAACTCTTCACAACCCCATTTGAGGTTTTCTTGGCAAAGGGAGTGGTTTACCATTTTCTTCTCCAGCTCATTTTATAAATAAGGAAACTGAGGCAAACTGGGTTAAGTGACTTGCCCAGAGTCACACTGCTAGTTAGTGTCTAAAGCTGGATTTGAACTCAGGAAAGTGAGTCTTCCTGATGTCAGGCCCAGCACACTATACTCTAGGCCACCTAGCTGCCTTGGTGAGCATTGGGAATACAAAAACAGGGACCTCAACAGATACAGGGAGCCCCCCAGTTTAGCTGTTTCACACTTTCTGTGAATCTAGCTGAATACGGCACAATTACTAGAAAGAGAAGTAAGAAACAATGTGCTTCCTGTCCACCCCAATTCCTTTTTCACTTGTCAACCACAGGCTTATGTCACAATATTATAAAAGGAATCCATGATGCAAGCTCCTTGAAGGCAAGGATGATTTCATCTCTGTCCCTGTAATCTCCCAGTCAAGCACAGTGCCTGACATAGAGTACGTCTTAACAGAGGAATCCTGGACTTGGAGACAGGGAAGCTTTGAATCCTGCCCTTCGATGTCTAATTAGGGGCAGCTAGGTGGCACAGTTGATAGAGCACTGGCCCTGGAGTCAGGAGGACCTGAGTTCAAATCCAACCTCAGACACATAACACTTAATAGCTGTGTGACCTTGGGCAAATCACTTAACCCCATTGCCTATCAAACAAAAAAAGAAGAAGAAGAAGAAGAAGATAAAAGAAAAAAAAAGATATATAATTAGCTGTGTAGCCATGGGTAAATTTCTCAATTTCTCTGCCCCTCAGTTTCCTCATCTATAAAATGAGGATTATGATGCCTGTTGTAACTAACTCACAGAGTCAGTGTAAGGCTTAGAGGAATAAAGACCTTTACAAACCACAAAGACCTAGACCAGGAGTTCTTCATTGGACTCTAGGAACTTTTTCTTTCAAACACTTAGGTAAGTGGGGCAGCTAGGTGGCACCAGCCTCAGACCAAACACTTGACACTCACTAGCTGTGTGACCCTGGGCAAGTCACTTATTCCCAATTGCCTTAAAAAAGAAAAAAAAATGTTTCAAACATTTAGGTAACTGAGGTCCAGTATAACTGGCTTTCTTTGTAATCCCATGTGTTTTATTTTCTGCATTAAAAAAAAAAAAACCATGATTCTGAGAAGGGTTCTTAGAATTCATCAGATTGATGCAAGGGTCCAGGATGCAAAAAAGGTTAAGAACACTTAGTCTAGACAAACATCCCCTATTATTATCAGTTGGATGGAAATTGTAAATGACATAATCATATTTGTCCTTACTCTGACAAAGAGAGGTTTAGAAAGAGTCAAAGCAGGGGAGAAACAAGACAAGAAGGAAGAGGGGGAAAAAATGATGATGTTTGTTGGGTACAATGGACATTTCCACAACAACATGGGCATCACCAGAGATGTGATTAAACCCAAATCAGAACTTGATAACTAGACCTTAGAGACAAATAAGAAAACAGGGACCCTGGATGATTAAAAAATTTGCTCACACCCACACATTTAATTTGTGGCAGAGAAAGGACTATACCTAGATTTCCTTCTCATTCCATAGCCCATCAGGACTCTTCTATCTAGCATACCAGTCTATGAATGAATAATCCTTGTGGGAGACCCCACCACATCAGTATAACTACTCCTGCTGCCCCTTGGATCATGAGTGTGGACCCAGAGCTCCATGCTTCCCTCTTTACAGGGGGGAACAGAAGTACGGTGAATATATTTCACTGAGTTTAAGATTAACTAGCTTTGCTACTAACCATGCCTAAAAGCATAATTGGACACAACATTTGCAGGCTGATTACCAGGCAACAGATTAAATCAACTGTTTCGTTAACCAACATCTACTTAGCACTTGACTCTTACAACAGTTGAAAAATTGATTCAGTTACTGCCATAGTCCTTTAGTCATGTATAGACATGGGCACAAGGAAATATAGAGAATGTACATGACGCCAATGCATTGTTGGTGGAACTTTGAATTTGTCTAAGCATTCTGGAAAACAATTTGGAGTTAGGCCAAGAGAGTGATAAAAATGATCGTATCCTTTGACCCAGTGAATCCACTGCTAGGCAAATTCCCTAAGGAGGTCGAGGAGCAAAAAAAGACTCCATATACACCAAATGTTTATAACAGTCTTTTTTATAGTAGCAAGGAACTAGAAACACAGAAGTCCATCAATTGAGGGTTTGGGTATATCCACTAGTCAGTCAATAAGCATTTCTTAAGCACCTAATATAAGCCAGGCACTTTCCTAAGTGCTGGGCACCACTGGAATTATGGAACTTTCATTCTGTATGCTGTTTCCCTAGTCCCCACCCTTAAGAAGCACGTGATCTAACTTGAGATACAGACAGGGGTGTGCTGGATCCAGCTGGATATGGCTTGGGAGAAGCAATTATTAAATTTCCAGGGCTAGAGTTTATACCTCAAAATGTGCAAATTCCTCAAATTGGGGCTTAACTTATCATTTTCTTGATTGTCTAGACTTAAGAAAGTGATGGACAAAATGTTAATAATGAAAATTAACTTTAAAGGAATCCTGTATGTACATTTTTGGAAAGCCAGTTGCTAAACATTTACCAGCACACCCTTGCATACAGAACATACATACATAAATAATTATTTACATGTTAGATCTTCACAATGACCTTGTGAGGTAGGTACTATTATTACCTTCATTGTACAGAGAAAGAAATTCAGTTTGAGAAAGGTTACAAGTGACTTGCCCAGGGTCACATAGCTAGTTAAATGTCTAAGGCAAAATTGAAACACAGTTCTTCCTGACTCTAAGGCCAGCCTCTGTCTTCCCTATAGCACTGTGGAAAGAGTGTTGGGCTTGGAATCAAGAAGACCTAGGTTTGAATGCTGCCTGATTAAATAGGCATCAAAGGCAGGTCTTGTACCCAGACTTTTCCTGATTCCAAGACCAGCTCTCTAGCTCCCAGGTACCAGCAATGTATAACCTGGAGTTTTCAGAACTCTCCAGGCTTGGGCAAAAGCTGAGTGACAGATAAATCCATGCCTCTTGCGATATTTACACTGTCCACCCTGACTCTCCTGTCCCCTAGACACACCCCTACACACATCCCCCATCATTCCTGCCTGTAATCAAGGGCAGCCTTTGTCTTCCACCATCTCTAATGTCTACCAAGTTCTGAGCCCTCACAGGACCAATGTCTTTTACACTGTCACCCCACATACTCTCTCCTTCCTCAAAATTTCAATAGAAAATATTTTCAAAGAGAGTCACAGGAAGGAAGTAGTCTAGTGACCACACAGTTACCTTAGTTAGCCCCTTGATGTCTGGGAAATTCTCTTCAGAGGAGGACTCAGTGCTTCACTAGCCAGATCAAGTGGAATTGTTGATAGTGAAACTCAGGGTTTTTCCTAGATTACCAAAGAGAAAAAAATATTCATCATCACAGGAGCCCAATCTCTGTAATGGCTCAGTTACTACTCCCATAGGAAGGGCTAAGTGATGAAATATTACATATAAGGAGCAGCTCTCAGGCCAATCTTATGGGAGCTTACGGTGCACAAAGAAGACAATGAAATAAGATCAGAAAAGTAGATAAGAGACAGGGAACATTAAAGATCCCCAGAGATGTTCCCAAGTGACCCAACCCACAACTGTCATTTTTATTTAGCTGAACCCCCTTGGTACTTGAAGCAAAGTGCTTTGCGGTTGCACCTGAGTTAGAACCAGGAGGAATGGTGATGATGGATGTCAAAACGTATTCATTGTGATGGAGAAAACAAGGCAGCAGTGGGAAAGGCTAGATCATATTCCTTTCATTGTTCAGTCGTGCCTGACTCGTGACCCCGTTTGGGGTTTTTCTTGGCAAAGATACTGGAGTGGTTTGCCATTTCCTTCTCCAGTTCATTTTACAAAGGAAAACTAAGGCAAATAATGTTCAGTGACTTGCCCAGGGTCACACAGCTAGGAAGTGTCTGAGGCTGGATTTGAACTAGGGAAGATGAGTCTTCCTGACTCCAGGCCCAGCGCTTTATGCACTATGGCACCACCTAGTCCTGCCCAGGGCAAAGAGGAAGGTATCTGGAAGCCACTAGTTTCTCCTGCTTTCACCAGGCCCTGACTTCTCAGGGGTCCCACTGCAGGATAATCATGTTGGAATTTGTGTGAGGTATGAAGGGCCCAAGTTTCTTTTCAAAGGTTCCTATTTCAGTTGGTAAAAGCCCCCCACCCACACTCCCCAGCTTCAAATCCTGAGAAATCCATCCCCTGGACAGCCCTCCCCATTGCAGTTGGGCTTATCACCAGGTCTCTGAAAAATGAGCTTTCAACAAAGCCCAGGTTGTGGCTCCCAATGTCAGCAGTGACTAAACAGCCTGTCCCATCCAGTCCCCAAAGTCATCACTCCTGACTGGGAAGTGATACTCACTCATTTCTCTATTACTTCAATGCAAATGCATTACATTGTATCAAAACTCTTTGGTCAAGACAGCCCTGTGGGGGTAGGTAATATGAGTGTGATTATCCCCATTTTACAGATGAGGAAAGTGGGGCTCTGAGAAGAGAGGATAACTTGCCCTCCAGTCTCCAAGTCTGGAAGTGGCGGGGCTGGAGGCTTGAACCCGCATCTCTTGAAAACCAAGCCCGGTGAGCAACGTTCCTCACTGGACAGCCAAGGTCAATTGCCTTCACTATGAATACCAAAAATATTTCAGAGTGATTTCTGATGTTATGCAATTACTAGCCACACCTCTTCAGGCAATATATGCGTATATATAAAGGCAGTTGGGGCACTGCAATCAGTCACAAGCCTCCACAGAGAGACGCAGTCACCCACAGCCTCGGGACACAGGAGGTAGGTAGTGTGACTGTTCCATCTCCAGCTTGAAACACCTCTGCATGCTTTTCGGCTTCAGCTGCCATCTGTGAAGCTGCCTGGGCTGAAGCCACAGTCTCAGTATCTTCCTGTCTGTTTGGTACTAGGCAAACACTGCCTTACCTCACTCAAGCTAAGGGGCAGTGTGTGTGTTGGGGTGGGGGAGGTGGGGGGAGGGGGTTAGGTGGCAGGGGTGGGGGAGGGGGGAATCCTTCAAAAATGATCAGGAACAAAACATACTGATTTTTCCCAATTTTGCTTTTTCTCTCTTGAGTTTTTATAAGAAAGTAAAATGGGCTCCATCTAGCATTAGTACCTGGTAGAATGCAGGTTCGGTAAAGGATGAGATGCTTTCATTTATGTCTCTGTATGCTCACTGCCTGGGGCAGCGAGGGGATGTAGTGTGTAGGCCAGGCCCAGAGTCAGGAAAACTCATCTTTCTGAGTTTAAATCTGGCCTCTGTCACTTACTAGCTGTGTGACCCTGGGCAAGTCACTTAACCCTGTCTGCCTTAGTTTCCCCATGTGTAAAATGAACTGGAGAAGGAAATGACAAACCACTCCAATATCTTTGCCAAGAAAACCCCAAATGGGGTCATGGAGAGTCAGACATGACTGAACAATGTTCTCAGTGCCTAGCACAGTGCTTAGTACATACTAGGAGCTTATATCATGCTGGTTGGATTGCTGGCCTATGATCTTACAATCTTATACATTTGTGAATTAGGTCCTGTCATATCCATTTGGATTGGGAGCTTGACTCCACTGATACCAGGTGCTTTAACCAAGGCAGCTGATGGTGCAGTGGATAGAGTACTGAGCCTCAGTTCAAATCTGACCAATCTCAGATAAATTTACTAGCTGTGTGACCATGGGCAAGTCACTTAAACTCAGTTTCCTCAACTGTCGAATGAGGATAATAAAAGCCTATGCTTCCCAGGGTTGTTACGAGAATGTAATGAGATAGTAATTGTAGTGTACTTAGTGTAGTACCTGGCACACAGTAAGTGCTTAAGAAACATTTATTTCCTTTCCCTTGCTTTTCTCATCACAGAAGTTATCATGGCCAGAGTCCCTGACATGTTTGAGGAGCTCAATCCCTGCAACAGGTGAGCAGTCATTTTTCTTTGTTTTAATGCCACGAGGGCAAGAGAATCTAAATGCTGGTTAGCTACACGGAGAGGATAAAACTGAATTGTCCAACTATTAGAATTGTGACCAGTGTGGCCACAGGCCAACAAGAGATTCCATACAGATGTTGTGTCCCAGATCTAGAAACAGGGCAGATCTCGATAAAAGCTTAGGAAAAACAAAATCCAGACAAAGTCTGAAGAAATCCTGTCAGAAGGAAGGATGACATTTCAGAGAGTAGTTTATAAGAATGCGCAAGAACTGGTCTGTGCATTTCAGCCTCAAGTTCCTTTGCTGAGCTACAAGTGATCAGCTGCCTGAGAAAGGAAACACAAACTTGCCAATACTAATCAGAACTATGGACTGATTTTGTGTGTGTCTGCATGCATGCATGTGTATGTGTGTGAGTGTGTGTGTATATATATCCTTTCCCTTCCTCAGTGGGTGGAAGGTTATTAACTGGATCAATGAAGAACTAGAATTATGGAATACTTTAAAGAAATACAGTTTATTCTTTTTAGTAACACTCAAAGAAAGAGTAACAAAATCTTGAAGGGACATTTTGCTGAGGGTAAGCTTTTAGACTTGGTTTAATGAATGTAAAAGAATATGTAATTGGCGTGCAATATTTCTGAGTACAAAGAATTATTCTAAAATACGTGTTAAAGCTATTTGTTCTCTTAACTAGATGAAACATATTGGGTTTTTTAATTGCTTTGATTTGTCTAGCAAACTATTTTCTCAAGTCAGAGCCTACCAAAGAGAACACTAGTGCCGAATTAGAGGGATCTGTGTTAATAGAGGCTTTCCATATGTAAATGTAGGCACGCCGAGCTGTAGGTAATTTCTAAAGATGACGCGAGGGTTAGTGTGATTAGAATCTGTCCATGTGTGCTTCCTGGAAATAACATGATCATTAAAATGTGTTGCCAAGGAGCAGTGACCAAGCAACGAACAAAATAAAGCATTCTTTCTTGCTTTGCTTTTACAGTGAAAATGAGGGATTTATTTTGGATACTGACCAAGTCTCACTGAGTCAGGTAAGGCAGTGCTTGTCAATCTCCTAAGATTTCTGTGCTTGGAGAAATGCGATCGTTTGTCCTTGTCTCCCGGTGGTAGCAGGAGGTCCAATACAGTGAATGGCATTCCCAATTCAAGTGGAATAGGAACAGATTATATTTCATATCATTGGATTTCCTTTGTAAAAGGTACCTTTCTCACACAGTATAGGAATATCTCAAGGACCATTTCTGAGCCATAAATACAACTGTTTATCAAAAGATCATAAAATCTTACAGTTTGTTGAGAATGCAAAGGGCAAGTCTAGTTCTATTATTTCAAAATGAGGGAATTGAGGCCCTAAAAGGTGAAATAATGAGAGAGAGAGAGATCGATATAGATATATAGATAGATACATACATATATATACACACATGTATACAGATATACATACATCGATATATATATATATATTTTTTTACATATGCATGTGTGTATACAGGCATACATGCTTATATAAAATACAGCTAGGTGGTGGGGTGGATAGGGTATGAGGCTTGGAATCAGGAAGACTTATCTTGCTGACTTCATATCTGGCCTCAGACACTTACTAGTTGTGTGACCTTAGGCCAGTCACTTAACCATGTTTGCCTCAGTTTCCTCTTCTATAAAATAAGCTGGAGAAGGAAAGGGCAAACTACTCTGGTATCTCTGCCAAGAAAACTCCAAATAGGTCACAAAGAGTTGGACGTGACTGAAAAATGACTCAACAACAACAGGGGTGGGGGAAGAAGTCTAGTGGGCAGCTCTAAACCAACAAACTCTTTTCGAGACAGCTAAAAGTAAGTCTTTCTGACTCCAGGCCTGCCACTCTAACTGCCCCCACCCCAGGTACCAAGGGATTTAATGACCGAGGCTGCCCTCAAGATGATTTTGTTAAAACAAACCTTGGAACCAGACTCCATTGAGAGAGATCACTCTTATCTTATACTGGGTACTCAGCAACTCCCTCCCAATCGTAATGGCAAACAGCTCCTCCTTTCTTTGCCAAACTCAAGTGTCTTTGTATAGTCTGTGTCTCCTCTTCTAAAGTCCTCTCTAAGTGTCTTCCCCACCAGCTCTATGCAGTTGACTCCCAGTTATCTAGAGGAACGTATACTTTGATGCCTTAGCATAAGTATCTCAATTATTATCACCCATTCTTTCCTCAGCTCTTGCAATCTGGGTTCTACCCCCCAACATACGCTACTCTCCTGAAGCAGCTTTAAGATCACCACTGACCTTTGAATCATTGAATCAAGTGGATTCTTTTCTGTCTTCATCCACCCTGAGCCCTCTGTAGATTTTCACCACTTTTGACCCCCCTGGATAATTTTGTTTGTATTTTATTTATTTATTTAATTTATTTCTTTGTTATTATCTAAACTATACTTCTCTTTCCCTGCAGGAGTCCTTCTACCCTAGTGCCAGCCCATACCACAAAGAGAACTGGACAAAAGTAGAGATTTCTGAGCAGACGCACCATCTTAACTTACAAGAGTATGCGGGAGAAACAGTTGTCCAAAGGGAAATAGAAAAGAAGAGACAACTTTCCAGGAGCCATCCCATCACCAATGATTACCTGGTTAACGTTGGCAGCATTCCAGAAGAAAATAAAGGTAAATACCAACGTCTTTTCCTCCATTTTAAAGTGAACAGTAATAAGAAAGCGTGGGTGATATTGAATACAAATTCAAAAATGGAGAAAAAGTATTGATAGGTTGCCATCTGCAAAGAGTAGCTTCATCAATGAGATTATAGTCATCAATATTTTAAATAACATTTCCAACTGAATCTGCTCTGGGGAATTATAGACTCTGTCTAATAAGTTTCTTAAGAATGTGAGCATCTGGAGTATTGTGTGCCCCCAAAGGGCAATGCAGCATTCACAGCTTGTACAACACGAGAGCCTGTATTTCTTTGCCCTTCTCCATTGAGTAGAGTTGGCCTGAGCCATACGTAGGTACTTTGCCTAGTAGCCCTGGCCTCCTGAGAATTGCTCCAGTCCCTCCACTTGTATGGCACTGCTCTCTCTTCTCCTCCAACCTGTCTGATCACTTCCTTTCAGTTTCCTTTGCTGGATCATCATCCATGTCCCACCTCCACATTGTAGGTGTCCTGCTAAAGCTCTGACACTGTCAGTTCCCATGGACTCAGTTATCAGCTCTATTTAGATGACTCCTAAATCTGTATCTCTAGACCTCCTCTCTCTCCTAAGTTGCAGTCCCACTTTATCAACTGCCTTCTGGATCTCTCCACTTGGACATCCAATGGTCATCTCAAACTCAACATGTTCAAAACAGAACTCATCTTCCTCCCCCCACTTCACCTAAATCTTTCTCTCCTCCAAACTTCCCATTTTTGTTGATCCTTTTAATCACCTGATTCACAACCTCTGAGTTATCTTCTATGCTTCATTCTCCCTCATCCAACCCCATATCCAATTGGCGCCAATTGGTGTCAATTACACTTGCACATCTCTCACATTCATGCCCTTCTCTCCACTCAGATAGCCATCATTCTAGCTCAGCTTTTCAACAACTTTTCCCTGGACTACTAGGAGCCTCCTAACTAGACTCCTGGTTTCCAGTCTCTCCCTTTTTCAATCCATCCTCTACACAATTGCAAAATAATCTTCCCAAAGCACAACTCTTAACAAGTCACTGCCCCACTCAGGAGGTTTCACCTACTTCCTATTGTCTCCAGTATACACCAGCTCTTTAATTTGGTTAGTCATTCAAGCTCTTTTAATTCTAGTTCTTGCCTGAATTTTTGGACTTAATGTTCTGTTCTAAGTATTTTACATTCCAGCCAAATTGACCTCCCTGCTATTTCCTAAATTCAGCTTTCCACCTACCACCTCCAAACCTTTGTCCTCCATTCTGAAAATGAACACCCTCCTTGTGTCCATCTTAGAATTCTTTCCTTCCTGCAAGGTTCAGGCCATTCTCAGCTGTCATCTATTCAAGGAATGCATTCCTTCCTTATAGCTACCTCTCATGTGCCATATCCTATGGGAAACCTTTCCTGATTCCCCTAATTTTTAATCAAATGATCTTCTATTTGTTGCCATCTCCCTGGTAAAAACAAAGCTCCTGAAGGGAAGGGATTTTTTTTCATGTCTGACTTTGTATTCCCATGACTTAGAAAACCCTCTTGCACACAGAAGTGCTTAATAAATATTTATTGAATTGTAAAAAACAAATGACTCTCACCATGACTGAGGCTACTTCATAAAAGGAGGCTGACCTTTATAGCAGCTGTGTACTAATTCCCTAGTGGCTAGTAGCCTAGTGGACCAGATTCCACCTAAAGCAGCATGATCTATACCTTCTAAATGTGCACGTTCTTAAGATGCTTATTGGAGTAATTAATAATTTCCCAGAGTAGATCATTTGGAAATGCTATTTCAACATGTTGATGACTCCATGAGTTCATCAGTGAGGGTACTCTCTCCAAGGGTGCAGGTGGCAACCAATCTACACCTCATGCTGTGTGACTTTTGGCCAAATCGACTCAGATTCTCTGGTTGGGGGCCCTCCTCTGCCTGTTGGGGAGCCTTCTTCTATTTCTTGACATTGACAAGTAGCTCTCCATCAATTATCCTTCACTCTCAGTACCTGACTGACCCACTTTTGTTTTCTTTCATACATCAAGTGAGCATCATGGGATCATAGCTCTGGGATTGGGAGTGGCCTCAGAGGACACCAAACTTTTCATTTTATAGATGGAGAAACTCAGGACCAGAGAAGGTAACTGACTCTCTTCAGGTCACTCAGGTGGGAATGAGTAAAATCAGGATCACATTCTGCCTCTTCTGATTCCAAATCCAGTGTTCTCTCCCAAAGAGCTGTCTTACTGTTTCTCAAGTACACTGTGATACATTAGAATTGACTTTCACCCATAAAGTGCTTCACAATTTTCCTTTGGGTGACTCACAATTTTAAGTTTTCAGATACTGCAGAATTTCATGACTTATAGTCATACAGTATCATTAGAAGAATACTGATTTTTAAATGGTCTTTCACACACAAACACACAGGCACATACACCCTCAGGATGAGGGGTCGATAAAAGCACTGTTCAATTTCCCAAAGGCAACCCAACCTGTTCTGTTCTTCATCTTTCATTCTGGTCTCATTCCCAGCATCTCTTCAAGGTATGTGTCCTAATGGACAAGCTTAAATGGACTGTCCGTCTAATTGCAAATCAGCTTGGATAATAGGTATTAGTCATCCATGGTTTTTCCTGGTTGAGAAACTCAGGCTGTATGATTGAAAGCTCAGCAAAATTCTTCTGAATGATTGTAGGCCTTCTATAGGAATCACTACGTGGTACCAGGGCTTGATGCAAACAGTCAAATTTCTAAGCTAGACATCATTGAGCAACACTTTTGGGTGTTTCATGCCTCACTTGATATTAACCATCAGAGTCATTGAATAAAGTTGTCTGCATTGTTACGATTTTCAATATTACTATTTCCATTTTTAAAAATAGGAAAGGAAGATGGATTGCTGGTCCTGGATTCATTTTTTTTTCTTTTTCTTTTTTTTTTTCTAAGGACCAGGTACCAGAGAACCATGGAGAGGCAGCATAATAGAATAGAGAGAGATTCTTATCTGACTATCTGACTGTGTGACCTTGGACATGTCACTTAACTTAGAGATGTTTTTGAAAGCCCCTGATCAGCTCAGAATAAAGTGAATTTCACAAATGGTCTCATGATGAGGAGATCATCATGATAACAAGGGGCTTAAGACAAGGCCAATAATACAAAATCAACGGAAAGGTAGAGTTCACAAGGACCAAAATTCTTGTTGTAGCTCTGTCACTGTCCAACTCAAGTCAAGATGCTCTTATTAAGTGCCTACTGTGCTGCAGGCACTGGGTTAAATGCTGTCCAGTTGGGTGCCTTTGGGAAAGTCACTGAAGCTTGTTTGTAGAATGAAGAGATTGGACTGAATGGTTTCTACGGTCACTCCCAGTTCTAAAATACTTGGAGTCCATAATGCTTACTTGGGGCAAAGTATTGATGATGGCTGTGTTTTCCAGATGTAATCAAATACAGGTTGGACTCCACCATTCAAAACAATGTGGTGTATGAGTTCCACTCCTTTATAACTGACCAAAAAGTGATGGACCAGAAATATCGGAATTTAATACCACGCGAAAATACCCTGAGAGCTATCGCTATACAAAATGCGACACGTGAAGGTAAATTACACACCCTACTTGCTTCTTTTTCTCTGATCTGTCAGACTCTCTCTTTTCAAAGGGGAAAACTCTCTGGGTCCTTAGCTTTACCCACTGCTCATTTTCAAAGATGGATGAAATCACTTTACTGCCCTACAAAATTCGAGGTAGCATCTCATGACAGGGAAGTGAGAGACTAGTGCAAAACAGAGGGCACATTTGTCGATGTGGTCAATGTGGGAACATATTCTTCTTGACTGTTTTTATGTCACAACAGGTTTTTATCTCCCTTTGGGAGGATAGAGAGCCAGTGGGAGAGAGGGAAAAAATAAACATTTGATCAGTGAAAAAAATACCAGGTAATGATAGAAATTCCTATCAGACAGTAGATGTCTAAGGATTCCACTTCCATAGTGGACATTTCTTAGCTAGGCTGTGAGTTTAACAAAAAATGCATAGTCCTCCTCAAAATAAAGAGAGGGATTTGGCATAAGCATCATCATCATCTCCAACTTTTCCTAAAGAACATGTCCAGTGGTACAATAGACAGACAACTTGGTGGTGCAGTGGATAGAACACTGGACCTGGAGTCAGGAATATCTGAGTTCAAATCCAGCCTCAGACACTTACTGCCTTTGTGACCCCAGGCAAGTCATTTAACCTCTATTTGCCTCAGTTCCTCATCTGTAAAATGGGGACACACTGGAGAAGGAAATGGCAAACCCTTCCAATATCTTGGCCAAGAAAACCCCAAATGGGGTCATGAAAAGTGGGCACAACTGAAAGGACTGAACAATAATAATGAGCAAAGTGCTATGGGGATTAAAATAAAACATGGTCCCTTCTCTCTGGAAGTTTATGATCTAGTTAGGAAGTTAGCTCTACATATTTACTTAGACTGGCAGATCCAAGTCCAAGACTGGACTTGGAATTGAGAAGACCCAATTTCAAGTCTGGTCTCTAAGCAGCTCTGTGACCAAGGAAAGTCCCTTAACCTCTTTCTGCCTCAGTTCCTTCATCTGCAAGATGGGGACAATAGTGGCATCCACTTCACGCAGTTAGTGGGAGGATCAAATGAAGTAGTGTATGTAAAATGTTTTTCAAACCTTAAAGCTTCATAGAAATGCTAACCATTATTTTATTCAGTCATTTTTCAGTCACGTCCCACTCACAGTGACCCCATTTGGGGTCTCGTTGGTAAAGATAATGGAGGGTTTCACCATTTCCTTCTCTGGATCATTTTATAGAAGAGGAAACTGAGATAAACAGGGTTAAGTGACTTGCCCAGGGTCACACAGCTAAGAAGTGTCTGAGGCAAGATTTGGATTCATGAGAATGAGTCTTCCTGACTCCCGGGTCAGCCCTCTATGCATTATGGCATCACCTACCTGTCTACCCAGCTTTTTTTAGATTGTGGTATTTTTTAAAAAAAGTAATTTATTATTTTCTTGTTCTTTTTTCCCAGTGACGTTTGACATAGGCAGGTACATAACTCTATCACCTGCACCAAATAATGGGATTGCTGTGACTTTAAAGCTCTCAAACACAAACCTGTATGTGACTGCAAAGAAGGAAAATGAACCTATACAGCTACAGGTGAGCAATCCTTAGTATGCCTCTTAGATTTTGGATTCCTGACATTATCCTTAAAAGGACTAAGGAGCAGCTAGGTGGTGCGATGGCTAGAGCACTGGCCCTGGAGTCAGGAGGACCTCAGCTCAAATCCAGGCTCAGATACTTACAGGTTGTGTAACCCTGGGCTAGTCACCTAACCCCAACTGCCTCCAACAAAAAAAAAAAAGAGGGTTGGGGCACTCCTTTATAATCATCATGCCCTTCCTTCTGCCTTTTCTACATTATTAAATTATGAAATGGTTGAGTGAGTTCTCCATGAAGCCCCATAATCTCTTTAGACCAAGGTTAAGCAGAACTCAGTTTCAGAACTTTTTATTCTGAAAAAGATTCAGAGGGCAACAAAGTCAACATGGCCCAGGAAGGTGATGTGGGAGACAAAAACAAACTAAAAGCAACCATCCCCAGTTCCTTTAACCAATCCTTGTACTCCAACATCCTGGTTGCCTCCTTCGGGACCCTCTCCACATAACCCATGTCCTCCTTAACTCTGAGTGCCCAGAGCTGCACACAGCTGCCTGGGTGAGGGCTGGCAGTAGGAGCAGCAGGGGTGGTATCTTCTCCTATTCCTGGGAGCTCTATCTCTTCTAAGCTTCTTGGAGCTGTCTCATCATGCCCTGGTCTCATGTGGAGCCTGACTCCTGCTGAAGCTCTCACACCTTTGTCAGAACAGCCATGTGTCCAGCTCTGTTTCTCCCATCTTCCACTTGGGTGACCCAAGTTTCAGACTTGCTAGTTATCCCCTTTGAATTTCAGCCTAACACTCTAGCTTTCCAAGATCTATTGGATCCTGACTCCATCATCCTGAATCCATTTGATTCTATTTTTACCTATTCCACATCTCTCTCTCTCCTAGTATGGATCACTAAAGAGATGGTTGCTAAATATCTAGAAAGGGAAGCAGTAATTATAAAGAACCATCAGGGCTTCATGAGAAACACATCAGACCAGACCTGCCTCTGCTAAAGAAGCAGATGAGATGGATTTGGCCAATAGTGCTTAACTGGGTTTGAGCAAAATTTTTGATGAATGATTTAATTGAATATAAGTTGGAGGTTGACTGAATATGGCAGGGTCTAGTATCTAGCCCACAGAAGTTTTCTGTATTAAAGAAAAATTCACACTCATCAAGAATCACTTCAATGCATTTGTAGATTATTCTCACAAAACTTTATAAAAATGAGAAAGAAGGCATATAGGTTAGTAATTTTTCTTGGTCACTTTTTTATATTAATGAACTATAAGATTTTTTACATGCTTCTCATCCTTTATATGCCTCTTGGATTGATCCTTTTACTTTCTAACAATTGTTACCTTCAGCATAAACCTGTTCTATGCACACTTGCTCTAATCTGATTGCTTTTACTTTTTTTTTTTTAGTGCCATTTCTGTGTCCTTTCTAAGCACATTAGGGATTGTGATATTACACTCCAAAAGCAGTGGCTCAACTGGTCTTGTTTGTAAAAATGACTTGTTATAACAATTTTTGCAGATCTTTTCCATATTTTTCTGTTTGTTGTCCTCTTTCTCTTTTAATAGTGGGGATGACTGCTTAGGTGGACTTCAATTAAGATTTCTTTAAATTAATTTTACTCTCCATTGCTTCTATTCTTTATGAGGTAATAGTGCTCATAAGCTACCATCATCCTTCTCTGTATAATTTTATAAATGAGTTTATATTCTAAATCCACATGCCTTTTGACCACCATCTCTCCTTGCTTGCTTAAATAAGTCAAATGTTTGTTGACTAGGGCACTCTTTAGGTTCTTTCCGTCTTCTTGTTATGGTCATTGATTTATATTAATTACATTTCTACATGCAATCATTAAAAAACAAAGAAGAAGAATTCACACAGTCACCTAGACTTGGCATCAAGTCCAACTTTCAGGTGAATGAGTTACAGCCCTACTCTCAGCAGGTGGAGCTGATGGACAGAACTTACCCAGCAGGCTCCTGAAAGAGCTATAATGACTTCACAGTTACTTCTCAGACGGCCTAGAAGCTGTGCAAACTACCCTAGTAGCAGGCTTAACTGCTGCACATGGGGTGGTAGGGACTCAACTAACAGTATTACCCTTATATATTTTCAGCCATTTTTTTAGTCGTGTCTGGCTCTTCATGACTTTATTTGGGGTTTTCTTTGCAAAGATACTAGAGTAGTTTGCCATTGCTTTCTCCAGTTCATTTTACCAATGAGGAAACTGAGGCAAACAGGGTTAAGTGACTTGCCCAGGGTCACACAGCTAGTAAGTGTCTGAGGATGGATTTGAACTCACAAAGATGAGTCTTCCTAACTCTGGGCCAGGCATTCTATCCACTGCACCACCTAGCTGCCCCTACCCTCATATAACCTCACCCCAATTTAGGGAAAGATTTTTTTAGTAACCTTAAATATTGGGAAGTACACTATTTCAAGTGACTAAGTTGCTGGTTCCAATTTCTCCCAGATTGTAAACTCCATAACAATATTCCACATGTGAGTTTGTACAGTGCCTGGCACACAGAAGACTCAATAAATGTTTGATAAATGAATAAAGCTATGATCCACAGGTAAAGTTGAAGACCCCCAAGCTCATAGCTGTGCCCCCAAACTCAGTCCTACTTGAGGTAGCCTTTGATCTTTCTACCCTACAGACGTGCTCTCCAGAACTACTAAATGTGGCTACTCCTCTCAAGCCAAGTCACCACACACTTATTAAGCACTTACTATATGCCAGACACTGTGCTAAGTGCTAGGGATACAAAGAAAGGTCAAAACAGTTCCTGCCCTCAAGGAGCTTACATTCTAACAAAGGGAGCACGGGAAACAGCATGCAAAAAAAAATTGTACATAGAAGACATATACATGGTAAATTGGATAGAATGAAGGCCTTAGGATTTAGGAAGGGCGGAAAAGGCCTCTTACAGAATGTGGGGTTTGATCTGAGAACTGAAGGGATCCAGGGAAGTCAGGAAATGGAGCAGTCCAGGGCTACATGCAAAGGATGACACTGGACAGAAAGAGACAATGCTAGCAGCTGAGTCCTAGACCTCTTCCCTATATATGCAAAGGTTAAGATTTTTTTTTGCCTTTTTTTTTGGTGAGGCAATTGGGGTTAAGTGACTTGCCCAGGGTCACACAGCTAATAAGTGTCAAGTGTCTGAGGACGGATTTGAACTCAGGTCCTCCTGACTCTAAGGCTGGAGTAATATCCACTGTGCCACCTAGCTGCCCCCAGCGGTTAAGATTTTTAGAGGTTTTCTAGTCACCAATTCCAAAAGTGTGACCAGAAAACACTTAGCTCTACGTGGCACCAAAAAAAGAGTGTGATGCTCCTACCTCCTTCTGCCCACCCACTGCACCCCCTGACTGCCTCTTTCACCATTCTCCCTTCTTTATAAGAGAACAGGATGAGGGGTAGCTGTCACTGATCATCTGGGCTATCACCCAATCAATTGCACTGAAATCTGTCATTAAGAACCCTCAAGAACCTAGCCAATAGCTCACAGATGTTCAGATTCCTCAAGAATCTAGCCAATATGGCAGATCTTTAATAAACCTTGAAAAGAAAAGAATTGATTGGCCATTATTAATGGAGAGAGGAGAACACTGCGTCTGGTAGGCCAGACGCTGAGGGACTAAGTTGGTTTTCTTCCACCTGCCTCCACCTGTTCACTTAACAAGCCTGCTCTCTTCTCTTTTTCCTGAAGGAGATTCCAACGACACCGACCAAGCTGGACGGTTCTCAGAGTCCCGTCCTCTTCTACTGGACGGAGCATTACACTTACAGCACCTTCGCCTCTGTCGTCAATCCAGAACTGTTTCTGGCTACCCAAAACGACGATTTTGAGCCGGTGATCATGGCAACAGGGATGCCTGCTTTACTTCACTTCATAGTGAGTGAGGAGTGAAAGCACAGACTTTCCAACAAGGAAAGACCTCTGCAGCACTCTTGTCATTAGATCGTGTCTTTAAGAGCTGAGAGGGAACCTCAAAGGGCTTCTTGTCTGACTGCTCCATTTTGTATGTGGGGAAACTGCTTACCCAAGGTTAGTCAGAAAGTAAGTGTCAAGAGGCAAAATTTAAACCCACACCCTAACTACAGGGCCACCATACTTTCCACTGAATCACACTACTGTAGTCTAGCTGTATGATCATGGTACGTACTATGTACACGATGAAAACAAATCCTTTACTCTCAGTCATGTGCCATGCAGAGGGCTTTAGGATGAACCCTTGTCATTCTGAATGAATTTTTGTGAACAAGTTATGAGAGTCCAGTGGACCCAACACTAACTCACGATTATTATTTACTATTTTGAGAACACCCTACATTTTACAAAGGGCTAGTCATTTTAATTAATATTCTTCATTACAGTTTCATGAGGCACACTACTGACCATATACCTATCTGAAAGCAATATCATTAGAGATGTTGGTACTATTCTAATTATATTATGGAGCAGTTAAGTGAGTAATGACAGAAATATATATTTTTATATATAATGAAATCAGAATCAGAACCCACAACCCCAGAATCTTTTTGCCTGTTGCTCGGAAAACTTCTTGCTTCTCTTCTCATCTTTGTTTGCTAAGAGGGTTTCAGATAAGTAATACACCTCAGTTTGCCATCTTTAAGAGAGAGAACAATTCCTATCACCTTCCTACCTCAATGGCAACTAGTAACAATATTGTCATTTTGATAAAACATTTTGACAGAATCTGTACCATGGAATCATGAAATTCAGAGTCGAGAAGATGCCCTCAACAGCCAACTAGTCCAATTTGTACATGGAAAAAAAAAAACAACAAATGGTTAATCAATCTACACTTGGAGATCTCCAAGGAAGGGAAATCTATCTCCTCTCAAGCCATTCCACTATGTCAGAGCTTTAATTATTAGGAAATTGTTCGTTAGTTTTTTCCCTGATGTCAAGCCAAAATTTTGACTGCCACCCATTGCTCCTGGTTCAGTCCTCTGGAGAAAAGGTCTAATCCCTCCCCCATGTAAAAGGCTTTCAAATACTTGAACAGAACTCTCATGTTCCCCTTTGAGTCTCCTCTCTTTCAGGCTAAACACCCCCACTTCCTTCAACCTAGCCTGAAATGTCATGAATTCAAGGCTCATCACTATCCTGACTGCTCTGCTGTTTATCAGCATCTTTCTTCAACTATGGCACCCAGAACTGAACCCAGTACTCCAGATGAGGACTGATGGATGTTGTATGAATGCAAAGTATTTAAATGAATGCAAAGTATTTAAAACAATGCATAAAACATGTACATCTATGTGTTGCCCCACTGCAACGCCCAGACATTAGTGTATGGAAAGAGCAGAATAACAAAATGACTATCACCTAGCAAGCTCTGGTGTACCAAAGGGCCAAGGCAGATGAAAGCAAGAGGAGATCAAGGATTCCCCCGTGCTATGGCCATTGTCTACTCTGAAAAGAGTTCTTGTCTAGAGATCACAAAAATTGGGTGTAGAATCCCCAATCTGGAAAGGATCTCAGAGGACAGACTAGTCTATCCCTTTCCCAAAGCATGAATCCTGTCCACAGATTTTCCACAAGTAATCTCAATCAAGCCTCTGCTTGATGCTCTCTGGTGACAGCTCCATGCTAACTGGTTTTCCATATACTTCAGGTGAAATCTGCCTTCCTGTACATTTGGGTTGAGTGGCAGGTCACACCTAAAAGGTGACTTGGACAGGCTAAAAGTGGTTAGTGGGTTCATGCAGCTTTTAGGGCTCTATGTGAGAAATCAAATGAATGGTGATGGTAGTAGTGATGTTAATAACATATTTAGGTAACACTTTGAGGTTACAAAGTGACTCCTTTCCGACAACCTTATGATAGTGCAAATATCATCCCCATTGTCCTCATTTCCCCCTCATAGAGCCCTCTCTTTATTTAAGATATACCTCTGGCCCCATCTTCTGCCCAGAGTTTTCCCTAATCCTCCTAGTTGCGAGTGCCTTTCCTCCTAAACTACCTTGTGCTTACTTACTTTGAATGCAGTTTTATTTATTCACTGGATATTTATTCTTCATTTTCTTATATAAATGTACATGCTATCTCCCCCTTTATAATGTAAACTCTTTGAGAGTAGGAATTATTTCAAAAAGGCACATAGTGCCTAATACATATTTATTGATTAATACATGCAGGTACATGCATCCATGTATTTATATATTTATTCATTGTTATTAACATATTTAAAGATTTATTGTTATTACAAACATTAAAAGAGTAAACAGATTTAAAGACTCAACTGAGTATGTTTTGATTTATTTCCAAAAATGCCTCAGTAAACTGATATGAGACTGGCAATTTCTTGCATGTGGGGACAATCATTGGTTTTCCTTTGAATGAAGACTAGACATTGTTTCCAGAGCCTGTCACTGCTTTGAAGTGGTCTGAGTGTTTTGGCTCCCGAACTAACAGTTCTGGGTGAGTTGGCCCTTTCTAGTTGACCATTCCCAGTGGGTGACCACAGAACCAGCTTCCTTCAACTTGGACTTCAGAGCAGCTATGAATATTGTATCCAAGGCCCCAGTGGACAGCCTAGGTATTCATATAAAAATGAAATTAATAGGGGGGTGGAGCCAAGATGGTGGAGTAAAAGCAGTGACTTGCTTGAGCTCTCCCCCAAACCCCTCCAAATACCTGTAAAAAATGGCTCTAAACAAATTCTAAAGCAGCAGAACCCACAAAAAGACAGAGTGAAACAAATTTCCTGCCCAAGACAACCTGGATGGTTGATTAGAAAGGTATATTGCACTGGTCAGGGAGAGGAACACAGTTTGGCATGGACATACAGGCCTCAGCAATCCTGGAACAGGCCTCAGAAGACTGAATCACAGGCAACTGTGGTGGTTCCCAGACTTCTCAACTCATGAACACCAAAGACAACTTAGAAGGTCAGTAGGAAAAGTCTGTGTCTGCTGTGAGAGAGAAGCTGGTCCCAGCCCCAGTCCTCGAGCTTGGCCCGCAGGGCAGCAGCTGCCTACTGAGCCTCCAGCCCACAGACTGAGGGGGAATTGAGTGGCAGATCAGAGAGAGATTGCAGGGATCTCTCTGCTGGTGCAGGATTCTCTTGCTTGGCCTGTGCTTGGATGTGGGTCACAGTTCTGGGTGGCGGTCCTGGGGCAAAGAAGAGTGTTATCGTGGTGGAGCTAGTAGTGGCTGTGGAGAGGAAGCCCTCCTCACAGTTCCAAGACAGAAAAGAGTGCTTGTGGTCACTCATAGACAAGAGCACAGGCCAGGAAAGGAGTAAACCCCTCACTCTTGATCATAGCACCTTGGAAGAACTGAAAATTTACAGGTTCTTAAAAGTATCTCTGAAAATAGCTGCACAAAACCCTTGAAGCTTGGGACAGTACATTCTTCACACTGGAAACAGACCCCAACCTTAACAAAACATTTGTAACTCAAGTAATTGGCTGGGATCACGAATAAGCAGCACAAAAAGAGCCAGACCATAGAATCTTACTTTGGTGACAAAGAAGATCAAAACATACAACCAGAAGAAGACAACGAAGCCAAAGCTCCTACATCCAAAGCCTCCAAGAAAAATATGAATTGGTCCCAGGCCATGGAAGAGCTCAAAAAGGATTTTGAGAAGCAAGTAAGAGAAATAGAGGAAAAACTGAGAGTGATGCAAGAAAATCATGAAAAACAGGTCAACAGCTTGCTAAAGGAGACCCAAAAAAATACTAAAGAAAATAACACCTTAAAAAATAGCCTAGCCCAAGTGGCAAAAGAGGTCCAAAAAGCCAATGAAAAGAAGAATGCCTTCAAAAGCAAAATTGACCAAATGGAAAAGGAAGTCCAAAAGCTTACTGAAGAAAATACTTCCTTAAAAATTAGAATGGAGGGGGCAGCTGGATGGCACAGTGGATATAGCACTAGCCATGGATTCAGGAGAACCTGAGTTCAAATCCAGCCTCAGACATGTAACACTAGCTGTGTGACCCTGGGCAAATCACTTAACCATTGCCCAAAACAAACAAAACAAAAAAAAAATTAGAAAAGAGCAATTAGAAGCTAGTGAGTTTATGAGAAATCAAGACATTGTAAAACAAATTGAAAAGAATGAAAAAATAGAAAACAATGTGAAATATCTCATTGGAAAAACAACTAACCTGGAAAATAGATCCAGGAGAGAGAATTTTAAAATTAATGGACTATCTGAAAGCCAGGATCAAAAAAAGAGCTTAGACATCATCTTTCAAGAAATTATCAAGGAAAATTGTCCTGATATTTTAGAACCAGAGGGCAAAATAGAAATTGAAAGAATCTACCCATCTCCTCCTGAAAGAGATCCCCAAAGGAAAACTCCTAGGAATATTGTAGCCAAATTCCAGAGTTTCCAGGTCAAGAAGAAAATACTGCAAGCAGCCAGAAAGAAACAATTCAAGTATTGTGGAAACACAATCAGGATAACACAAAATTTAGCAGCTTCTATATTAAGGGGCCACAGGGCTTGGAATATAATATTCCAGAGGGCAAAGGAGATAGGATTACAACCAAGAATCACCTACCCAGCAAAACTGAGCATAATCCTTCAGTGGAAAAAATTGGCATTCAGTCCATTCTTGATGAAAAGACTAGAGCTGAATAGAAAATTTGAGTTTCAGATACAAGACTCAAGACAAACATGAAGAGGTAAACAGGAAAGAGAAATCATAAGAGACTTATTAAGGTTGAACTCTTTACATTGTGCATGGAAAGATGATATTTGTAACTCATGAGTCCTTTGTCCATATTAGAGCAGTTGGAGGGAAAAAAATTATATGTATGGTTAGATAGATAGATAGATAGATAGATAGATAGATAGATAGATAGATAG